GTGTGTGTGTGTGTGTGTGAGGAGGGGGGTGAGTCCAGAGTGTGTGTGTGTGTGAGTGTGTGGGGGGAGTCCAGAGTGTGAGTGTGTGTCTGTGTGTGTGTGGAGGGGGTGAGTCCACAGTGTGTGTGTGTGGAGGGGGGAGTCCAGAGTGTGTGTGTGTGTGTGTGAGTGTGTGTGTGAGGAGGGGGGAGTCCGAAGTGTGTGTGTGGGGAGGGAAGGACATGTATTTCGTCCCCAGTCGCCTGTGCCTGAGCGCAGGCCCCGAGCCCCGGGACGTTGCTGAGATGCACGCGCTTGCCCAGAGCAGCTGACCGGGTCTCTGCCGGCCTGGCTGCCTCCCTGGAATGTCAGAGGCTTGTCCTCCTGCCCGGCATGGAGTTCATTGTTGACTTGATGGGTTCTTCCTGACAAACTCGGTTTTTAGGAAAAGCCTGTTTGCAGATGTGTGTGATTCATGCCTATGGGCTGTGGTAGATGTGCTCTTAGGGCTTTTCTTCTGCTCCCTGATGGTTGGCGTCGTGGGTGCCCAGGCACTGGCAGAGCGCGAGGCTGAGGCTGGGTGGGCGTGCGGTGCCCTGGCCGTGGGCAGAGCAGGAGTGTGGCTGGGGAGGGGCGTGGGGACAGCGGCATAGGGGTCTGTGGGAGAGACAGCAGGCATCCCCCAGGCAGGGGGCAGTAGGTGCAGGGGCCCTGTGGCGGGAGCACACCTGGTGGTCTGGAGGCCTGCTGCGAGCCAGTGGGCCCAGCCCCGCAGAAAGGGGATGTCAGGGATTCCTGGGACTGGGAAGAACGCATTCTCTGTGACTTCACGTAATTGAAAAATCTCGATTACCTAAACGGCCTAAACGTAAATGTGTTTTGTGAACGGAAGCAGCACTTTTTTTTTTTTTTTTTTTTTACTGTGGTTTCAGTAAATGTTCTGCATTTTCCAGGAATGCAGCTACCTTGTAAATCAAGGGAGGTTGTACTTTGTCCTTTGTAGAACCTTCCCAAGAGCTGCTCTCGATTTCCTGGAGAAACTGCACTGCTCCACGGACACAGCCACCCTCAGTACCTGCGGCCCCGCCACGTGCTGTAATGGTGTGCATTTGCAGCATCTCTGGCGGGTGGTCAGAGTTGGCAGTGGTCGTGCCCCGTATGGGAGCGCACGCTTGACAGTGCGTTCCCGCCCTGTAGTTCCCTGTTTCGTGAGAGATGGAGCAACATGCTGGGTTTTTGGCAGTCCAGGGTGTATGCTGGTTGTGGTGGCTGCTAGCATGGCGCTATGAAACCATGGGGGTGTCGGCCCTGACCTTTGTGAAGACCCTAGCTTGGCATGTGGTGCGCAGGCATCTGACTTGACCAACGGGCCACAGGCTCGGGGACCTCCTGGCCCCTCTGGGTGGTTTGCAGGAGCCTCGGGG